CCCCCCCCCACACACACACACACACCGCTGCCGAGCAACACTTTCGCGCATTTTGAAGTCCGCTTCGGTGATGCCATGCCACGGAAACACAGCGGAGATGAAGGCGCCACCGGGCTCTGGATGAGGACCTCGCCGGGCCACCACCGGGCCGAAGGCTACGGCATGAAAGATGTCGAATCCGCGCGGAAGATGGTGAACAGCGCGGGAGACGGCTTGCTCTCGGCCTGCAGCGCCGTCGGCGCCGCCGGTTCCGACAGCTTGCGAGGGAAGCAAGGAGCCCGGCTCAGCTTGCTCGGCAAGCCGCTCATATACAGCGCGCAAAGCGGGCGCAGGAATGTGCGCTACCGGCGGCTCCAAAACTACCTGTACAACGTGCTGGAGAGACCGAGAGCCTGGGCCTTCATCTACCATGCATTTGTGTAAGTTTCTCTTCTTCTTTTATGCGCACCTGTTGATGCTGCTTCTATTGCGCTGCATGGGCAACATCGCGCCCTCGCCACCAATGCAAGCCGCCTGCTGTCTTTTCTTCCTTCCTCTAAATGAGTGACGTTCTAATTCAGTTGCATTTGATGCATACCTCGTTTCGAAAAATGGCAAACTTTTTCAAGTCATAATGAAGCGTTGACGGGTGGGGTCATGCGTAGTGTAGAAGAACCATCACTGTTGGGGTGCCTTCTGTCTTTCTTAACTTCGCAGTTCCCGTGAATAAGCGAAACTGATGGTTGGAGCGACGCGACTGTTGAGAGGAAGGAAGTTGTCACACGCGGCGGGTGAAGCTGCATTGCGAGCGCGTGTGTGTGAGGGTGTCAGTGTGTGTGTGTGTGTGTGTGTGTGTGTGAGAGAGAGAGAGAGAGAGAGAGAGAGAGAGAGAGAGAGAGAGAGAGAGAGAGAGAGAGAGAGAGAGAGAGAGAGAGAGAGAGAGAGAGAGAGAGAGAGAGAGAGAGAGAGAGAGAGAGAGAGAGAGAGAGAGAGAGAGAGAGAGAGAGAGAGAGAGAGAGAGAGAGAGAGAGAGAGAGAGAGAGAGAGAGAGAGAGAGAGAGAGAGAGAGAGAGAGAGAGAGAGAGAGAGAGAGAGAGAGAGAGAGAGAGAGAGAGAGAGAGAGAGAGAGAGAGAGAGAGAGAGAGAGAGAGAGAGAGAGAGAGAGAGAGAGAGAGAGAGAGAGAGAGAGAGAGAGAGAGAGAGAGAGAGAGAGAGAGAGAGAGAGAGAGAGAGAGAGAGAGAGAGAGAGAGAGAGAGAGAGAGAGAGAGAGAGAGAGAGAGAGAGAGAGAGAGAGAGAGAGAGAGAGAGAGAGAGAGAGAGAGAGAGAGAGAGAGAGAGAGAGAGAGAGAGAGAGAGAGAGAGAGAGAGAGAGAGAGAGAGAGAGAGAGAGAGAGAGAGAGAGAGAGAGAGAGAGAGAGAGAGAGAGAGACAGACAGACAGACAGACAGACAGAGAGCGTGTGTGTGCGCGCGTAGAGATCTGGGTCTGTGCACAACACGTGTGAGGCGAATAAGACGTATGACATGAGTCATACGTGCATATACTTAACAAAGGCAACCGCATTTAGGTGGCCTTACTGGCTTTGATAGATTCTTAGCACTTGCTATGTCTTCACATGGTCCATCGCTGAATAATTTCAAGTGTTTACAAGCAACTCTGTGGGTGTTTAAGACAAGATGGTAGTGCAGTGGTGAGAAAAAACGACCACTTTTGACTTTTCAGATGTTTCAAGTATCTGTATTTGAGTATCTATTTTTTGACCGTTTTTTTTTTGCATTTACTCCTTACACTTATCTTTACTTCGACTCCTTATCTTGTCAAAATAGGATTAGTTTAAAAACCATACCATACCATTTTATTTTTTAAAGCACATTTAAAACAATCCAGTTGAACCAAAGTTCTTTCGGTGGTGTAAGTCAAAAAGGACAGGAAAAGAAAACCCCAAATCATACGTAGAAACCGTACTTGTTGACAGATGTAAAAGAGAGCATTAACAACAACTGCGGTTCAGATCTTTGTTCTGAAGAGAAAATAAATAAAACCACAGACAGCAGCAACGGAAAGCATTCATGGCAATGGTGCGACTGCAGCAGGTGGGCAGTAGTAAAATATTCAGTTTCTTCAATGGGTTGATGTTTATTTTGCGCCAGAATGATTGGTGACTTATGCGTCTTGTGTATTATGCCGACCTATCACTGGGTGGTAACGTTCAACAATTCTGACTGAACAAACACAGGTGTATTTCTTTTACTGTTTTCATTGACAGTTTTTTTTTCTGAAGTTCACAGCTGTAGCGACGCTATGGTGACAAGTGTGATAGCATAAACGTTGAGCCAGACCTAAGTCGTCCTTAAGAACATCTGTTCATGTTGGTGACATAACTTCAGAAAGGAAGGAAAGTATTTAGTGGTCCATTTTTTTGTTGTGCCAAGTTATCAAAACGAGTATTGTATATCATTGAGAATAGACTGTGAATTCTTGTTTGTTTTTCTACTTCAGTATCGTTTAGCGCAGACCTAGGCAAACTATGGCCCGCGGGCCGAATCCGGCCCGCCGAAGGTTGGTGCAGGACACAATTAAGGTTCAATGTACCGTATTTTCCGCACTATAGGGCACACCAAAAAGTCTTCCATTTTCTTAAAAGCTCACTGAGCGTCTTAAAATCCGGTGCGTCTTTTGGATGGTCGTTACGGTAATACGTCGACTCCAAGATGGCTCCTTCCTGGAGACATGCTTCCAATGTTATAACTTGCTGTTGGTTCAGTGAACTGTGTCGCTGCTTTATTAAATAAGTTTGTGTTGCAGCTCCGAAAAAAGGGTGTGGTGTTAATTTTTTCAAAACAGTCTCAACAAATACAGGTATGTCTTTGTCTGTCTCCGTGCCTTCTTCCGTTCCACTCGAGGGCGTTCAAGACCGCCTCCGAAAAACGTAAACTAACGATTACTTCAATGAAACTACAAAAATTGAAAATAATACATCAAAACTGAAAAGCAAGCGAGGATATCACAAAATCAATTCTGTAGCCCCCCCTACAGATTTTATTTTGTGATTTCATCATTTGTGAATACACAACAAAGGAATAAATAACTACGACTGACATCTTGTTGTGTTATTTTGACTTCAAGATGGCGCCGCGAGAGTGGCTGCCTTTCCAGCAGCTCCTATTTGTTTTGTTCTTCTACTTCTTCCTCTCACAACTTTGCTGCTATGAAGTGGGAATTTCTCTATTGTGTGACTATTAAAGGTTTTCTGATCTTATCTTATCTTATCTTATCTGATCGTACTCTTGGAGCTACGATAAAGGAAATGCCAATGCGTTTTTCGGAGGCGATCATGAACGCCTCTCAAGTTGACGGGAAGAAGGCACGGAGACGGACAATGACGCACCTGTATTTGTTGAAAAAAGTTAGCTGTGGTTGTGGTTTTATTTATTTATTTTTTAAACGCAGACTTTATTAATGGTTTTCACAGTCTCAACAAATACAGGTACTGTAACTCTTTGTCCGTCACCGTGCCTTCTCTTCCATTGCACTCGAGAGGCGCTCATGGCCACCTCTGAAAAAGGTAAATTAATTCTTACTTCAATGAAACCACGAAGAAAATCAAGCAAGGAAATCACAAAATAAATTCTGTAGGGGGGATATAGAATTTATTTTGTGATTTCCTCGCTTGATTTTCTGTTTTGATGTATTATTTTCAATTTTCGTAGTTTCATTTAAGTACAGTAATAGTTAATTTACATTTTTCAGAGGCGGTCATGAACGCCTCTCAAGTTGAATGGAAGGAGCATAGCACCATCTAGTGGAGGCATTGTAGATTGCGCCTTATAATGCAAAGCGTCTAATGTATGAAAAAAATTTAGAAAATAGCCATTCATTGAAGGTGCGCCTCATAATCGATCATGAACGCCTCTCAAGTTGACGGGAAGAAGGCACGGAGACGGACAATGACGCACCTGTATTTGTTGAAAAAAGTTAGCTGTGGTTGTGGTTTTATTTATTTATTTTTTAAACGCAGACTTTATTCATGGTTTTCACAGTCTCAACAAATACAGGTACTGTAACTCTTTGTCCGTCACCGTGCCTTCTCTTCCATTGCACTCGAGAGGCGCTCATGGCCACCTCTGAAAAAGGTAAATTAATTCTTACTTCAATGAAACCACGAAGAAAATCAAGCAAGGAAATCACAAAATAAATTCTGTAGGGGGGATATAGAATTTATTTTGTGATTTCCTCGCTTGATTTTCTGTTTTGATGTATTATTTTCAATTTTCGTAGTTTCATTTAAGTACAGTATTAGTTAATTTACGTTTTTCTGAGGCGGTCATGAATGCCTCTCGAGTTGAACCATGGCGCTCGGGGTGAATAGAAAGCGAGGCATTGTAGATTGCGCCTTATAATGCAAAGCGTCTAATGTATGAAAAAAATTTAGAAAATAGCCATTCATTGAAGGTGCGCCTCATAATCCAGTGCGTCTTTTAATGCGGAGAATACGGTAAATGATTGCGGGAGAGGGAGACAATACGGAAACCCGCAGTAGTAGCGTTAACTCAAGTAACTGCGCTCGATACGATGGAATAAGTGTGTCCGTGCCGCTCTTTTCAATCGTTGGATCCAAAACGACGACATGCAGTGAGTTTTACTGGAATTGTGAACATTTTTACACTCTTTGTCCGTCACCGTGCCTTCTCTTCCATTGCACTCGAGAGGCGCTCATGGCCACCTCTGAAAAAGGTAAATTAATTCTTACTTCAATGAAACCACGAAGAAAATCAAGCAAGGAAATCACAAAATAAATTCTGTAGGGGGGATATAGAATTTATTTTGTGATTTCCTCGCTTGATTTTCTGTTTTGATGTATTATTTTCAATTTTCAGTTTCATTGAAGCAATCATTAGTTTACGTTTTTCGGAGGAGGTCTTGAACACCTCTCGAGTCGAACTGAAGAACAGAAGGAACGGAAACGGAAAAAGACTTACCTGCATTTGTTGAGACTGTTTTAAAAAAAACAACACCACAGCTCTCCTGTTTTCGGAGCCGCAACAAAAACGTATTTAATAAAGCAGCGACACAGTTCACTGAACCAACAGCATGTTATGACATTGGAAGCATGTCTCCAGCAAGGAACCATCTTGGGGTCGACATATTACTGTAATGACCAGAGACAAGGCGCATCTGATTATAAGGCATGCCGTTAGCTTTTGAGAAAATTTTAGGTGCAACTTAGAGTGCGGAAAACACTGTAATCTTCCTTTCTTCTGTTTTTTTTTTTGTACGATCATGGCATCCAAACAAGAGGAACAGTCATGGCCGCGGAAGAGAAAGTGAAGTGTATCTAATTAAATGAAGCAGGTTACAAAGTACGAAACATTCAGGAGACGCTTGGAGTCTGAAAGACTCAAATCTACGAGACTTTGAAAAACGAGGAAGCGATTCTTT